GATACGGACTCGGAACACGAAGGGGAGGGGGGAGGAGGGCATCGATTCGGAGATTTTCGCCGGGAAACTCGTTATAAGTTTGGACGGCGCATCGAGACCAGTTTCGCTGAAATGAATTGAATTTCCCCCCTGATCGAACCCGTAGGGGATCCGTGTTCCTCGGAACGTTTTTCGCCTAAACGTCGAACGGGTTCGCTCCAGCATCCGTGGATGTGCGCGTCACACCGTCGCAGTTGTATTTTTCAAACATTTAGAGAGGCGAAACACAGGAGACTACTGGTTGGCTGCGTCCCTTCTGCTCCATCGAAATGCACATTCGCGGTAACTCGTTTCAGACTGTCTGATAAATAGTTCACCGTGAGTCGGGAGGGTCGCGGGTAGAAAAGAAGGGTAGCTCGAGAGACACACTCGGCAGAGGTAGGTATAGCGCGCGCGTAAAGGACGAGCGACGGAGTAAAGAGATATGGAGCTTGAATCTTTTATGTTCACCGGAGGCTTTCGGGCTAGTGGCTGTGCGCTTTCAGTTCTATCACGGTTATATTCTTCCAGTGTTTTCACGCGGAACTACGAGGGCAGCCGTTGGTTTTGCGTGCAATTATGGTCGCGTGCAATGAGTTAAACGATTTCCTCTTGCCGTTAAATCGGATAAACGGTGAAAAAGTTTACCGTGATAGCTCCGAGAACGACACGTTTTAACACATTACCTACCGGCTGTTGGTTAATAGGTTAAGTAGATTCAACGACCGACAGACAAAGAACTATTATCGAACAGTTAGGGAATTAGTATATCGATCCCAGATAGCTTACCATTTTAACAGGTCACCGTTTACTTTGTAGAATAATATTTTCTTCTTTCTCTAATTAACAAACCTGGTCCCACACTTTTGGCTGGTAGTGTATGTGTATGTGGCACATGACGCCTTAAGGGCGCCTCAGACCTAAAACAGCCGTAAAATGGACGTCTTCGAGACGTCATATGCTATTTGGGCAGTGACGTGTTACCCAAGAGAATGGACCTTCTGAAGAATATAATTGGGTTCGAACATCCCTAGTCTATACCCCGTCTACACGTAAATGTGCGACAGAATGATACAGATAGGATAATAGAAAGAAGAAGAATAGGTTCACCGCATATTTTCTATTTTCCTTGGACCTCTGTCTTCTTCTTGCACAAGAATTCACTCTCCACTGAGGACAGAGCTAAATATTCTCTTGTGTCCCCACCATTTTGTTCTTGCGCCAGAGGGAGAACGTACGAATAGGGGAGGCTGGTTGCGCCTACGTGCAAGCAACCCGCACGACATTTGTCTGCCCGGTATTCCAGGGGCTGCCGGCAACAAGGGGAGAAACACGAAACAGGACGAGCTCTCGTATCTTCAGTCTACATTCGAAACCGCCACGAAGGTCTCTCGCATGTTTTAAAAATAAGTCTCGGCACGATATCGCCCCCGTTCGGCGTTATACTACATCGTGTGCTCGAAACACGATGCTCTTATCCCGATTAACTCACGCGTTTACTTGGAGACACCGAGAATCGGTTCACCCTCGGAGGGCGGACGATCTGGAATGGACATGACAGACGAATGCAGGGTCATTTTGACCCATACTAGAATTTCCATTGTACGCGTGTTTGTAGAGGGAAATGTGCAAAAAAAACGTTATCTAAAGGAGACCGGGGTAGGGAGTAACAGGTTTTTGGTTTTTAATGAAATAAAAAAGTCTGTATTTTAGCTAGAGATTTAATTTCAATTTATACGGATAGGTTGGAGATTCAAGATTAGTTCCAGAGCGATGTAATGATTTTAGATTGATTATTGAAAATATTATGACCGTGAAAATTGACCGAGCCGAATTGTTACTTTTTTTACCCACCTTGGGATGAAAAGTCTTCTTAATGAGATCAATTAATTATCATAATTAATAATTATAATAATTTATCGATTATTTGTTATTATAGCACTGTTTTTTTTTTTAAATTATATGCCTTGTTGTAATCTACCCCTGTTACTTTTAACCCCAGTCTCCCCTATATCTTCAGACTCATACATTACATTTACGTATAACTGCAAAGAATATGGCAGTAGCTACAAATGGGTCAAAATGACCCTGCATTCGAAGATGAAGGTTAATCCGGAGAGACCCAGTCATGATCGAAGGGATCGTCCAAAAAGGTAACGATTTCTAGACCGTCAATTTTAGCGGGATCAACGATTACATTTCCATTTGGGGGAAAAAGTGGCGTAGAATAAAAGTCTCCTACCACTTAGTAAATTTATTCCAGATACTGAAATTAATGTTAAATCGAATGTTAATTTCCCATAAATTTCAGTAGTTCCAAATACCCAGAGGAAGGAGCATAGTAAGATGCCCTTCACCTACGTCACTTTTTCCCCTAGCGAAAGCCGAGTTTGCTCGTGGGTGTACATCAGGCAGAACACGATAAAGTGACGCCCTGTCGCGAACCATATGACCGCATCAGTCGTCGATGTGTACTCGTCAACGAAAGTCCAGTTCTCCCCTCGTCTTTTATCCAATGGCCTTATGCTCACGGTATCGATCACGTGGCCACCTAGTTGATTCTGAACGCTTAGCCTGATCCTCCTGCGGCCTCTCGAAACGGGGAGTGCCACCACCGTGCTTCTACACCCCCGATACGATACGAATCCGCGCCCCGTTTTCCTGTTTCTCTTGTCTAAATGCTCCGTGTTTCGATTCCCAACTGTACCATCGGTATCATCTGTTTTTCTTCTTTTTTTTTTTTCTTTCTCTATGGAAAATATACGTCCAAGTTTGAAGGCAGGTTGCGCAACCATTCAGCCTCCCTGTCTTCTGCCTATGCGATTTCGCTCCTTGGATAGAATAATTTTGGTCTCGGTTATCGCGTTAATTATTATACAAACCCCTGGTTTAATATTCAAAACGGCGTATTCACTCCTTGTTTACGTGTAATTTTAGCGACCTAATTTGACAGTTTGCTCGTCTTTCGTAGAAACGGTAATGAAAGAGAACGCTTCAAAATAAGGGGACGTACGGTAACTAGTGATAGGCGATACGGTATCGATAATTTTCAATTGAAATATCGATATTTTCTATCTAACGATATATTCCAGTATCGATACTTAACCCACAAACATCGAAATTTCGATACAATCGCTGCACTTACCATCACGTAACAAGTCGTAAAGAAAATCGATCAATCGCGTGCTTCCTAAAAAGTTTGCGATTGATCGATTTCTTGTCCACGCTGTTACCTGAGAATCTGCCTTAGTAAATATCTGCTTAAATAAATGATTTGTTTTCATTTTTGGATTTTATTACTTCCGATTTAATTGTAAGTATCGATACCGATAACATTGATATTTTATTCCCGATATACAAGTGTATCGATCCTCTGGATATCAATATGTATCGATACCAAATATCGATACAATTCAAATATATCCCTTATGTCTTCTGAAGAACGTAGATATTTAAGTAAATCGTCAGGGCAGTATCGTACAGAGTTCTAGCGGTAATTGTAAACGATAGAAAAACAGTATGGTCTCTGAAATATGCTTCGAACTCGATGAACTTCTTAGACAATGTTCAATAATGTGTAGAATCGCGTGCAGTTGCCAACGCATTTGCAGATTGATGAATATTAAACCTTTCGCGTGAACGATTATTCTGTAGTGTGTCGCGCTACTTTATATACCGAGTTTTGAAAAGCGCATCGTGACCTCGCAAAAGTTCCAAGGTAAGCCTGGTATCGCGATTTCGTAATTGGTTATGAATTCCGTGGTTCATAGTTCTCGTTTCAATTACGATGGTGTTAGTGTTACTTCTTACCGAGTAATTCTTCTTGATTTTCTTGACGGTGTACAAATCGAACTTTGGCATTTCCTCGATATAACGGAGACGCGCCAGGCGACACCATGGAACTCTTAAATGGCCAGGCATGTTTCCCTTGTGTTGACAGTGAACTGGAATTAAACGTGCGGTAACTCTTGCGAAAGATCTGTAAGATTATAAAACTATCCAAAAAGTCAACGGATAAATTAATAACCTACCATGAGATTTCCACGGAGAAGAAGTGTGACAGTTTCGATGCTTTACGAATGTCGTCAAGGATAGCTTGTTTGTCATTTGTCGGAACCGCAGTCAGAACTGCCACCCTTGTCGAAAGTGGTAAGTGGATCCGAATTGTTTTCCCCGATTAATTCAACACGCGTCGCGGGGAATAACTTTATTCGGGTAGTTTAAAAGCTATAGCGACAAGATACACCGGCGAAGAAGATATTTAAATGCTGTCGCCGTGAAAACCTATTCTTGAAAACGGGTCGTTAAACATTTGCGAGACGAACACGAGACCACGGTACAAAAAGAATTCTTCAGAAAGGTGTCTTAGAGTCGTGGCTAGGGTCTTGGCCGAAGGAGGATATTAAATATTTAACAGCCGATCGCACGTGACCGTTAAAGAATGGATGGAATCCCGAAACGGTTACGTTATAAGTTTTCTTCGTAAAATGATCGTTTCTTCGTAATGAAATTAGACATCGTTTTACGACACCAATTTAAAAACATGCGGAAGGAAGCCCGAGATGCGTGTGTACGACACCGATTAATTAATAGGTATTTGTCAAACGATTATTCTCGTTGAAACTATACTGTCGCTCGAAAGGTTCAACCGATTTAATGTGTCCATTTTAAAACAAATCGTCCGATTAACATCCATTAATTGTTGAACGATAGTGTAATTTCAACAACCGCCGCCGGCGAAGACCGTTAACGCGGAGGACTCGTGAAAGTGGAACCCATTTCGACGGCGAGAGAATATACAGATGGGCAAAGAAATGTACGTGAACGATGTACAGTCACTCGGTTTCGTTGTTTTTACCATTACTTTCTGTCAAGGTAACACGTTTACCGTCGACGAAAGGGGACTAGAGAAGGAAAGGTGCGATGCCTCGTCTGGTCCCGGCGAGCCGTTCAACGTATCCGGCCTCACGTGTTACCGTTTCGTGACAATAGGAGTCGACTTTCGATCGCTGCCAAAAGGACAAGGTTGTCACACGCTGGCCCAGCTCGTGACAGCTTGTCAAGTAGTTCTGGCAGGCCGTTACGCCCGAAAACAGATCCGGGGGAAGTTACGTTCGCGGATTCGCGAAATTAAATATCGTGGCCCGACGAGAGAAGGGAGAAGCTGACAGTCCGGGGAGAAGGTGAAAGCGAGAACCGTCCGCGGACCATAACCTAAAAATAAGCTGCATATGCGCGGCTCGATCGCACAGTTCGCGGCAATTCTCACCACGATGGTATATTGTTTTTAGAAAAACCGTCTGACATGATCGTGCCGGACTGTTGTTCTACCAACGAATGACTCGTCGCGAACGGGAGGAGTATGGAGACGTGCAACGAAGGGGGTGATCGGACCCCGTCTGTCACCACGAACACGAGAAAAACTTGGTCCGAGCTACGAACGTTCGTCAGTGATCTACGCAGAAAATTGTCCGGGGCATCGGACGGCTCTGTGCCTGGATCTATAACGTTTCGTTCGTTACCCGATGGACGGTAAGAGATATTCCTGGAAACGTGACCTAACCCCCCCGACCTAGCGCCATACACATTTCCTTTTATGTACAAGGGGTTTCTTGATCACTTGGCAGAGGTACGTGTGGTAGAATGTACATTTCGATTGACTTCTGTCTCTCGTTTTAGGACCAGGATATATTTCCTTAGCAGTCCAAGTAACGGGTGGGAAACTACTCTAATGTACGTGGATATACCAGACTCAGATTATGCTAATGGTTATCGTCTGTACTGGCAACCTGTTATAGAGGAGAATTTCCAAACGTAATACAATCTGTTCGTAAAAGAATAAGGGTTGACTCTTGATGGTTTCATCGAGCTGTGTTCATGTCTCGTTATAGGGTATCCAGTACCAAGAGACTATCGAAAGAGGAACAGTTGTTGTGGGAAAGAAAGAGATTGGCAACATGGGGTATCACTAGTTATGAAATTCATCCAGATAGTGGGAAATTAGTGTTTCCAGCTGCAAGCAGCCTTTACCAATGTATAGATAGAGGAGTTACGGTATTTCTTGATAATTTTTTTTTTTCAATAGCTATCGTACAAACAATAAGAATAATATAAAGGTGTTCCAATAACAGGCAGGACCACTGTTTCCATCTGAAATTCGTGTGTCTACTTCCGGTGCAAAGTTGTGTCCACAAATCTGTCCATGGAACAATGCACTGATTGCTCATACCTGCTCGGGAGATCTGTATCTGTCTCATAGTATCACAGGTTCTTCCATAAGATTAACTCATGCTAGGAAAGGTGGAAAAAATTTAACGGACGACCCTCTCACAGCAGGAACTCCTTCTTATGTAATGCAAGAAGAATTTACTAGGTGTGTAATGATATAGCGACGCGCGTATCTTCTTAATGTACATCGCGTACGTTCACATAGGTACATCGGTTATTGGTGGCAGCCAAAATCCAACGACGGCGTTTATAGAATAGTATACGAGGAAGTTGACGAAAGCGACGTAAAGATATTTTGTTTTCCGTCGACGTCGAATACCGGAGAAATAGACGAGTTCAGGTTTCCGAGAGCCGGTACATCCAATGCGAAAAGTAATCTGAAAATGGTACAATTCCGACTAGCAAAAACGTTGCATATAGTCGACATTTTGATCCTGGAGCTCCAATATCCATTGCATATTATGTTCCCCTGGATGGAATACATGGTAAGAGTAGGATGGACTCCCGACGCGCAATAGTAAGTAAAAAACATTCGCAATTTTCGTCGCGGATCACAACTATCGTTGCCGTAATGTTATGTATAAATACAGCGTCTGGGTCCAGTTGTTGGACAGAAAGCAGCAAAGGCTAGAGTTGGTTTTATTATCGATAGATAATTTTTGCGAGCCACCCCCAAATGTATACAATTCTGAGAATCATTTTACACCGTCATCGGCGAGCGTTCAGGTGATATATTCCGAACAAAGTTCGATTTGGATCATTGTTAATGATCTTCTTTATTTTTTACCCTCCGACGATCCAACGCAAGTAAAATTTATTTGGGGTAGCGAGGAATCTAATTTTCGACATCTGTATCTCATAACAACCAGCATCGCAGGTGAAACACTGTTAGGGACTGTTCTTTAGAATAACGTACTAATACTTTCAGAGTAAATGATTCGGTGTGTTATTCTTTTTTTTTTGTGGAAGGTATAAGCAGTGAAAATGGAAAATTGGATGGTACCTTGCAACCTCGAGTTATTTCTAAGCTTGCTTTAACCCAAGGAGATTGGGAAGTGTTAGGAAAAAAATTGTGGGTGGATGAAACGAATTCCATTGTATATTTTTGTGGCTTACGAGAAGGTCCTCTGGAACAACATGTTTATGCTGTGTCCTTGCACAGACCATTGGAGATAAGACTGCTTACGAGACCAGGTTACAGTTACAACAGTATATATTTTAATAAGGAATGCACGATGCTAGTGGCCGTTTATAGCTCCATCAAGACGCTACCTACTTGTCAGGTACGGTTAAGTAATTTCTAAGAATTGAATTTAATGTAATCATCCGGACAATTTTTATTCTCGCAGGTATTTAAAATATCGCGAACGGACTGGACGGTGGAAAGTATCTATTTGATTCCAGTTGGATATCTGTTGGAACCGTCGTCTCCTGAAACCGAAATATTTGCCCCGGAGATTTATACGCATAAAATATCGTCCGGGGATACAATTTATTCTATGATTTTTAAACCCCATAATTTTCAACCAGGCGTAAAATATCCTACAATACTTAATGTTTACGGTGGTCCCGAAGTACAGTTAGTGTCGAACACATTTAAAGTGAGTATTACCGGAAAAATGAAAGAAAGTGTCACTGTTTACGTAACTCGACTTATTCGTGCTCGTAGGGGATGAGGCACTTGAGGATGCATATGTTAGCTGCTCAAGGTTATTGTGTAGTATTAATCGATTCTCGCGGTTCCCATCATAGAGGTTTAATATTTGAAAGTCATTTGAAGCACCGAATGGGAACTGTCGAATTAAACGATCAAGTGGAAGTACTAAAGTGGTTAGCCGAAACAACTGGTTTCATTGACCTAAGTCGCGTAGCCCTACATGGATGGTCTTATGGAGGATACTTAAGCCTTATGGGTTTAATACAGTACCCTGAAGTGTTCAAGGTATACTTTGCTTTTTCCTCTCAACATAATTTCAATGTGCACACATGCTGTTCGTATTCGAAGCATAAAATTTTTCAGTTAGCCATTGCTGGTGCTCCTGTTACTTATTGGAAATATTATGACACCGGATACACCGAACGTTACATGGATTTGCCTCAAAATAACCCTCAGGGTTATATGACCGGTTCGATCTTAACGTATGTGAATAAATTCCCCGACGAAGAGAACCGATTACTGATCATTCATGGACTTATAGATGAAAACGTACACTTCTTCCATACAAGTCAACTGATCAATGCTCTCGTAAAATGCGGAAAACCATATCAACTGCAAGTTTACCCCACTGAAAGGCATAGTCTTAGAAGTTTAAACGCTAGCAAACACTACGAGACCACACTATTATCTTTCTTACAAAATCATTTGTGAATTCGTTGCTTTCAATCAAGTATAAAACGGTAACGTTCTTTAAATCCGGATTTTAACAGTTAAGTGACTGCCATTATTTTATGTACATATACTAAGCAAATTAAAAATTGTTCGTCGTAACTTTGAATTCGCGATGGCATAATCTGATACATACAATTCATCTCGATTGGTGTTTCGATTTTAAAGGAATGAACTATACAACGGAAAGTTCTGACCATAAACCAAGAGATTGTTAACCGTTATTGGGATTAGATACAAGTCTGAACGTGGTACACTGCCGTCGCGAAACTTAGCATACGCAATTTGCAGCCTTTTTAACGAGCTACATTAAAGCTTTACAACGGTAAGATTTATTGTTACTTTTTTAAGAAAATGGACAATACTCGCAACTCGTTTGTACATATATACATATGTCTCCATTAGATCTGCATAAATCTTTTTAGAATGGTCCCCCAATTGTACTTACAAGATATACATAACCTTCACTAGAAATATACTTGTCTCTTGGCTGTCACCATTTTATATTTGACTATGTACATACGCGCGAGCAATCATTCACTTTTTTACAATAAACATTGATGATAAGTATTCAACCGGTAGAAATATTTACAAACAAACCATATATCTAATTATTGACTATCCGTCGATAAAAAAAAAAACACTTATTATTTTCTATTTTATTACATTCTTTATTATTGTTATAGTATCCCAAAGTATTAACGGCATAATACTTCAATGTATGAATATATCTAATATTTTATTACACAAATATACATTACTGGTTACTAGCGTATGTTTTAGTTTTCCTATTTAGGTACTTATATAGGTATCTTATTCTCTTTTCTAAGTCTTTCCATCTTGTTGGTCTAGCTATTGGGTATATTCCACGCTGCAACATCTTACGTTTTCTTAACAATACTTGATATTCAATGCCCTTTACTCCTCGTAGCCAAAATGCCATGTTGTACAATATTCTGGTAGGGTGAATATCATTTGACCCTAAAATATCTATGTAATCATTCTGACCGAACAGCGCTCTTTTTTCGGTCCAAGCATCCTTTGGTCTGTAGATTGGCATAGGTAGCTTTTCATCGCTATTACGGGGCAGTAGTCCTGTCCTTGCTACAGAATCGTGATAACCGTATCGTCGTTTAATACGACCCTGTGCCACCTTGTCCGCATAGTAACGGAATCGTACCGGCATTACTTGCGGTGTCCACGTACTGACAGTCGTACGTATTGTATTCATAAACCACGACATGCTACATATTTAGAATTATTAATATGTTGATGCGTTATAAGGATACTGTTTCTTGACTAACATAACCATGATTTTACGAAACGCATTTACGTGTGAAAATGAAATACTACAAAGAATAGAAAACTTACGTTTCACAGTGAAATTTGAAGTTTCGTCTTGTATTGCAAACAAAAATCGTTCAGGTTCCTATGGATGTTAAAAATACTCTATAGTTTTCATATTTTCCAAATACAAACGAGCAGGAACATCCAAAGCTGTGTATACAAGTAAACTATGATAAACTACCCCTAATCTGCCCTAATCAAATGTGTCATGTGTGTGATAAGAAATGGAAGATCATTCGATCTACCTGGAAACGTTTTCATTCCAGAGCATAGTCATTTTCACCTTTGCAATTGTGCATAAACAATTGTCCGTTAGGTATTTTTTAATTAATATTTAATTCATTGTCCACAGAAAAAAATCGTATCAAAAGATTTTGTAGCGCTATCTACGGCAAAATGTCCAAGCTACTTGAAAATTAGTGCCCTATTCTTGCTGCAGATCACGCCACCATTCTCGTTTCACGTCTGATACATTATTTTATTAAATATTTACCTATGTATATAATGTAATTTTTATTGCATAACATGAATAAGAGAATTCGATCCAATGTTTTACAGTATTAGATATTGTAGTTTGTAGCTGTTGATGGGACATAAGCTCTCGGTGTGTATGCAAATGACGCTGATAATGACAAAGTACATATATGTATATCTACTGATTATTTTTTTCGCAATCGAAACATTAATTTGATAGGAGACAAATTTCTTTGGTAATTGGGGTTAGGTTTTCACTATATACATATATAGTATATGAACGTTTTCTTTGTTAACGTGCATATATGCATGTACGATGTCTCGTTAGTTATTTATGTGATTTCGTATGATGGAAATATTTCTTTTCTTGACATTGGTTTACAGGAAGAGTGTATAGTTTACAACTCATCGTAAATGCAATACGAATATTATTAAAATCGTTGTCGAAAATGGAAGTAAAAAGAAAGTATCGAAAATTGAAATGTGCAAGTCAGGCAGAAATTCTACGATCATATCAGAGGGATGATGATTTTGTGAAATGCTTGCGAGAAAAAGTTATTGATCTTTTACAAATTGTGGGAAGGCAAACGGGTACTCTACCTTTCGTTCAGTCGGATGTACCGTTCAAGTTGATTTACTTCTTTTTCACATCGGGTATGGGAAATCAGACATTAGGTGAAGAATATACAGGGATTGTACAAGCAGATTTAGAAGCTCGCAAAGTTCCATCCTTATTTGTACGTATTCAAGACAGAGCTGAAAAGCATTCCATTGATATTTGATGTGATATTTCTCTGTTCTTTAGGCAAGACTAGTATCAGTCATTTTAGAATGTTTTGGAGAAAAAGTATTGTTAAAGATATTAAAGAGATTACAATTATCAATCAATCATCCTCATAGTGAACTGACACCAACAGCTGTGGCCTTTTTAAATACATTTATATCAAATTTATGTAATCTGATACCTGTCTTTATATTAATTCATAAAGGACTGTTTTATATGTTTGGTCGGTATTATAGTATAGGGAAAAGATTAACAGGGATTGATTATGCCAAGGTAACCTGTGCGCAAGATATTTCTTCTTCAATGTTGACTGCTTCACTCTGTAATTTTGTTTTAAATTTAAAGGTGTATGGACATCGTCCAACTGATAGTATAAGTTGGGGATTAAGATTGTTGGGAGTTGCTACACTTACTCAATGCATATTAAAAATCTGGCAGAATAATAATAATGGAAATTATAATTACAAATATGTAGCACTTGAAGAGAAGCACACAATCTGTCAGTTGTGCCTTGAAAAAGAACCAACAACCACCACTCCCTGTGGTCATTTGTTTTGTTGGTCTTGTCTTACAGATTGGTTAAACTCTAAACCACAATGTCCCCTGTGCAGAGAGTATGTTATGTCATCCAGAATTGTATACGTGTTGAATTTATGACTTTTTAAAAATGTAATTACTTCTTCCATACTCACATAATTAATGAATTGAGGGGTAAATGATCTACTAGAATTTTTTTTTATACAGTTTAACATTTTTATAATTTTTCTTACGATTCTAATTACTACACATCTGTGCTAGCACTCATTTCATACAGATGGTAGTAAAATGTATACATATATATGTGATAAATATAAAGAAAACACGTGAACACACACCTATTTACATACATATATACATGTAAATATATACATATAATATATATATATATATATATATATACAAAAATATCAAGTTTTTATTCATATCAAGCGTATACACGCTACCTCTTGTATAACAATGTGTTATTCACATAAACGATAATGTACAATTATTTTATTTCCATTGCGTAGCGTTTTATAAAATTCTCAATTGAATCAAGGTATCAATAACAACAAACTCATGATCGCGGGGAAGTCAATGATGTTATAGTCACAAGGATGTGCGTTGAACGGAAAGGATTCCTACTTTTTCGGCGAAGTTACCAAGGAGCTGGCCGAAGCCGCTTGATTCGGAATTATCCTTCATTCGAAATCCAACGGTATGGCTGTAAGCGTTATAAAATATTCTTCTTAAACACTGCAACTTCTCTCTGCGAGATCTAGAGCGGATATGCATAAGAAATTTGTATTGTATCATTATTAAATATAAGGAATAATAATATGTACGGAGAGATAGAAACTGTTCGCTACTCACTGTGCCAGTGACGCACACGCCTCATCCTCAATAATCGTAGTACTTGATTCTTGAGATGTATGTCCCGTACAAGTTTCGCACAGAGGTTTGCAAACTAAACTAGAAGACGTTATTCCGTCGGTGAGCGGGGCATTGGCGGTCGTAGAACCGCGCAAACTGCCAGTCCCTGATATCATCTGCCAGGAACCACCGGATGACGAAGATTCGTTTCGTTGTCGGAGGCGACCGGGTACAGGAACCGCTACAGGCGAAGTCCGATTTGGAGGAAGTGGAGATCGTGATCCATGAGCCATACCTTCTTTATTCGGGGAAGGGTAAAATGACCATGGTACAACATTCCTGAAAAAAAAAAAAAAAACAAAAACTTATATGTGTATCGTACATGTTTTCATGATAGGGAATTTCTTAGTGGAATGTGTGAACATACCCATTACTATGACAATCATCTTGACTCTCTGTGGAAGCACAGTGAAACACCGCTGGTGGATTATTATCTTGACTATCTCTGCTATTCTGACTAACAGAGCTACACCAACTATTCAGACTTAAGTTGGAACTGACTGAACTTAGTGTTACTACTGATTCACTATCAAACATAACATTATCTAACTGTGAGTCACTGTCGTTGCGTAGAACAGTATGCCTAGATCTATTGTGACGTGGATGAATGCTAAACTCGTCATCATGAATGTGCTTTAAGAAATAGAAACAAAAGAAAAATATTTCCTCTCCTTTGCTTAGTCTGTCCTCTAAATCATGACCAAATAACATCCAGTCGTATGCTATTGTATAATACAGAATTTGATACGCGTTTAGCGACGTGTGTATTGCACCATCAGCCCACAAACTTATCCTCAACAATGAAATAAATAACGGTGTGCGATCCCAACCTGTGGAAATAGTATTTGTTAGTTATATTCATCTAGGAACTTCATTATTTATTAACAGGGATAAATACCTGAGATACAGTGTATCAATATTCCGTTACTGCTATCACTCAAATATCTTAATATCAGTTTTAAATAATTTTGAGTAAGCTTGACTAGATCCCAGACTTGGTATTGCTCCCAATTGATCCGTAACTGAGTAGAAATTAAATCTTCGGGCACACCAATTTGTGCATCTACGTGAGTCTGAGACCAATCGAACACTAAACCCTTAGCCAGATAATCATTTTCTCTAAACTCCCTGAAGAATTCACATCCAGGATATGGCAGTGAAATTAGGGTGAAGTCTGAGTACCTCTTCTCTTTGTCTACTTTCTCCGAGGAAGTCACGCTGAGTACCGAACAAAAGAGCTCTGTTTAACGTCCTCTAAAAGTGGATTCATAGTATAAAAAAAATTCATCATGCTATTAACTGATATGAAACTTCACTGAATCTGTGAAGAACCAAAAAATTGTTTTGACAATTATCTTATACTTAACTTCATTATTGCTTGTGAATAATTTCATTATTGCAAGACTAATCTGCTTTTAGAATATAAATTCGAAATATTAAGTAGTTAATAATGTACAGTAAAAAAAAATGACTACTATTATCAGTCCACTGCATATTTACATGATACTTAAAAAAAAGGAAATATCATTTATTTTATTGAAAAAGGTGCATGCAGAAAAACGAATTGTCTTAATGCATTTGCTTACTTCATTCCAAACTTGACCTTCTTCTTCTCCACCATGAAATCAATAATTGTCCCTACATTAAGCGTTTTCAGAAGTTTGATGTCTTGATGCCTAACTTTATCGAACAGTTGCCAGTCGCTAAGTACAGAGTCACCGCCTCGAGCTTCATCTACTTGTTGTTGAATCGAGACTATCCCTTCACTACCAGCAAATAAATAATCTAGCCCAGATCTACCATAAATTTCAGGTCCACCGGACAATGTGGCCGATCTGCAGACATGTCTACCTTTATACAATATTACTGGCAGTGGAAATCTTGAACGACATCTGGCAAATCTAGCACTCTTTATCAATTCCTTCAGTTTATTGGGGTCATACATGCTCTCATATATTGTTTCAGTTGTGCGTGGCAGTGGCGGCGGTGTATCGCACATATTTGGATTTCTATACTTCTCATATTCTAAAATGACAAGATGGCTAGGATAATGTGCACTGAGATCACCTCCATTATTGTTTATTATAGAGTGAGTATAATCCAAGTCAGTGAGCAGCAGACATCTTTGCATAATTGCTTGGCTCTGGAACAATAAGATCTTTTACAATCACAAAAACCTGGCACATGTACTTCGTGTAAATAATAGAGAAATAACAAATTCGCAAATTTCTGAACACATTCAATAGAATTGAATCATGAGTGCTTTAGGCCTAGTCCAAAGACTCATAGTATCATACTTTGTTGTTTCTCTACCATTGAATATGTATGTTATAAAAAATATGTTACCGTGCTATCTGCATCCTTAGCTCGATAAGTATTTTTTGAGAAGTATATGAGAAGTTTTTGTAAGTCTTGAATAGTAATTTCTGTCATGATTGGAATAAATTTTCCACGGACTATAATATTAGAAACTTAACTAAAATACACCTTTTTTAGGGAGGTCCTAAGTTTCTGTAGTTCTCATGAGTATGGTCACGAGACATTAACTGTGGCCAATGTCTTGCATACGAAAGGAATGGCACAAACACTATGTTTAAAATACACTGCATAACATCACAGCTTAACATCTGTTATACTCTACTTCTCACAAGTTGCTTTTAAGTGTAAAAACACAACATTCAATATAAACACAATGAAATTATATGTTTTCAGGATTTCATTTTTTTTTCATTAATTTTTTCATTAATTTTTTCATTAATTTTTCAGATTTTCATTCATTAATTCTAAGAGGCATTGAGGATTACATTAATGGAGTTTCTATAGAATAAGCTCGATGTTTGATTCAGGAAATGAAGACAATAAGTATTAAAATTTATATAGCAGAAAGCACAAGCTGCACTTTAAACAAATTTATTCTTTAGCAATACTTTGAATAAGATATAAATTAATATTCAAAATATTAATAAGCAAATATCATACAACTGTATGTTATTTGAATAGCACCATGCTTGGAAGAATAAATCTATATTGCTTTGAATTCTTATTCTTATCTAATATAAACAAATATATTGTTTGTGCTGATTTATTGTAGTAAATAAGTTCTTATAATTCTTTATGCTGATTTTAACACTACATTCGACAATCTTTAATTTTTCAGTAAAAACAATAGCAACGTCAGAATGATCGAGAATATCTTGTTCAGTAGAATTCAAACATTATAGAAGGTATCTCGGTTTTTTCATTCGGTTCGACTATTTGCACTGATCGTTTCACTGTGTCGTGTATGTTTTTATTTTACATTCAATTGTAAATGGAGTTTTCCTTCCGTTTTATCGTGTAACAGGAATTCATTCATTCGTCGATTTTAAGCGGGTCTGTTCCGTTCAAGAGAGAAAAAAAGAACTTTTCCACTGTAGTTTGAGCAACAACTTCTTATAGGACAACAATGCGGACAACGCTACGGTATGACTTAACCTGATTTACGTTATGCACGCCGCTTTCATTGTATTTAATGAACACATGAACCACGTCTGAAGAAATTCGTACAAGTTCTGTCAGACGATACTCGATCGTGAAATCAGAGAATCTGTCGCAGAAAATATCCATGGTACCTCATCGCATGCCGATTTGGATGATGATCCAACGGGATAACCTAAACATCACTCCCGAGAAAATGGATTTCGCGTTACCCGCAATAATTCGAACCTGTCCCAAGCACACTGTCATCCTCCTTCCCCTCGTTTCTTGCGTTGTCCCGTGTCTATTCCGTGAAATCTGTTATCGCTTTTATCACGTTTTCGCGTCGTATTTAAAGGTCGCCTTTTCGTTCAAAGGACAGTCATGTCCCTCTTCTTGGACGTCGATCTTGTGTCGTGATCAGAGTACCCACGTCCTTGATTTTTCTCCCTTCACCCACGCGACAACAAACACGGACGAATAATCTCAGATTCGACGAAATAACTATAGTTCCTTTTTCTTCTCTGTCGTATGCTGCACCAGCAAAACGTGTTGTACCAGTTGCCTGCCAGGACGAAAGTACGAAGTGAAACGCGGCGTAGAAAGATAACCTATTTTTGCAATGTGGAGAACGCGTGCTTTGCTCTGATGGTACTGCGAGACATTTTCGCGACTCTTAGAAATGCGTGAAACGCGAGCAGAGATTTTACCCCGTTGGATCGAATCAATTATTGAGATTTATTAAAATGTTATCGTAAACGATCGACGCATGATTATGCAAACTTTTTCTGTAAGTGATAAAAATATATATATATATCACATTTCGCCCTTCGCGTAGTCTGGGAGCGTATAAAATGCGTAGTCTATATAAGAAGTATAAAGAGTTATTGCCATCCGCAATGAAGAGTTTGTTGTTTTAGTTTAGTAATTGGAAACAACGTTCATTGAATTTAAAGTTTATTTGAGTTACCATAAAGTGTAACGTATTCTTAATAATTTATAAACTCTTGTTAACGTTAATATGGGAATTAATGCATTGGAAGAATGTTTGTTTGTCAAGAATGTAATGGTACCACTCTGTTGTAAATGAAGTACTCATTTTAAGTACCAAATCTCTGGCGAGACAATGCTTCCAGAAACCTATTTTAAGTTTTTCATATTTTAAAACATTTTGTTTGCAAAGTACAAAATCACAGTACATTATCATAAGAAAGAATATTTCTGACAGTACTAAAAGGTAAATATTAAACAAGTATATACTGTTGTTTTAGATCCGAAATTCTTTTACCGTGAATAACATTTAAGTCTATTTTTAAACATTGGGCATCAAGACCGTGTGAAAGTATATAGAACATTCCTCTAAACTGTAGTTTGTTAACGTTCTAAAAATACCCGTGCTTTCACTTTTTTATTAAAATGAAAAAGCGAAACTGGTTTTCCCGAATTCTTAATTAATCAATCGTTTCTACAAGGAAACAGCATGCTCGCGTGAAGGTGATGCAGAACGCGTGCAACATCGAAGCGAATTCGAATATTAATCGACGAGCTAAACGAAACATTTGAACATCCAACCATTACTTTACAATTTAAGAAAAGAACAAAAAGTATGTACATATGCATATGTAATTAATGTACATATTTCGGATCATTTTACATGTTATTGACGCACAAAACGTGGGGGGAGAAGTACGAATAATTTTTTCGTTTCTTCTCCAGATGGCTCTGACTACAAGTCCCTCCAGTGCCGTGGCGGTGCGCATGCGCGACCGGCAGGGTATTTCTGGACAAACGATCCAGCGGAATTGGAACAGGAACGGTTCGTGAATCGGGACTGGCACGAGAACACGAGAGGTGGCAAGAGACGCAAGATGGCGAGCACGCGGTGAAGCAGCGTTGCCTCGTCGATGGATCCATCGTGTATTATTCTCGGACAGTACGTCCGCGTTCTGTGTGATATTCGCGTTGGGTATGGAGTCGTGGGCGTTTCAGCGAGTGCCGCGTGCTGATAAACGACGCGCGTGCTGTTGGTGATCATCGTTTTTATCGCGGCCGAGAAACGATTCCGCGGGGCCCGAGCTGCCCACCGAACGCAAGACAGGGGCCAACGAAACGTGTGTGGTGCGCGCGGCTCTCAGTGAAAGTAAACAAACGGTTATGAGTGCTGTACTGGGCAGTGTCGGGGATCCAGCCGGTCTCCTGGATCCCGACGTCGAGAGCATCCTCGAGGAGAAGAACCAATTGATCAGCCGGCAATATGCGGAGATCGAGAGGTTGCAACGGGAGCTCACGGAGGTCATCGGCGAACGGGACGCGTTGCTTTGCGAGGTGTCAAAGTTTAAGTTTGAGCGCGAGATGACCGATCTGAAGCGCCTCCACGATGACAGGTATTTAGAACAAATCCTTTCCCTCTTTCTCGAATATACCTTATCCGTTCGGAAAACACGGTTTAACTTATTGGTACGGATTTCCGAGACCCTTAGAGACTACTCGTATTTAAAAATCTCGTATTATCGTTAGTTCAATTTCAATGCGAAGTGTAACCGTTCTATTGTACTCGTATGATTGTCAACATTCGTTTTCTTTCCGTGAAACTATCGGAATTAAAGGCAGGTCATAGAATTACAAGTTAAATTGCCCTTGCGGGTCACATTGACCCCCGAATTTAGTCTCTGAGGGTCAGTTAAATTACGTTTATTTTTAATACGGTACGACTTCCGTTCGAGTTAATACATTGACTTCCGTAGTGGTAAGCGGTTACTATTGGGTTATATGAAAATAAAAAAATCTAAGAATCCGTGTACAGTGATGTTTAGAATCTTAAAAATATCGTATAAATACCAGCAAATCGACGTTGGTTCACGGGTTTGAATTATTATTCGAAACCGTCGCGTAGGAGACGCTGTTTTGCTCAATGACACCGGGGACTCCCCGTCGGGGAAAAAAACATTGACACCCGGTCGCGTCGGTAGGGTACAATTCCAAACAAAACAATGTAGGCGAAGGTGTTCCGTCGTTATAATTCGCTGTGTTGTCGCAACTGTCACAGGTATATGTATATATGGCTATCGGTGAAACGTAGACACGCGTTGGCCGTATAAATAATGTATCTGTTATTTTTCTTCCTCTTGCACGCGATACACATACTACGTTCCGTGTACCGAATTGTCGGTTTTTTTTTTTGTTTCAAGGCATCGTGCCATGTGAATCGATCAGTCATATAATGTCCACGATATGTTTACTTTTTATTCACGATCTATTATTTGTTTCTTCCTCCCCTGTAAACACGAACGTATAAATATGTTGCACATACGGAAGCATTATTCAGTTCTAAGAACGTTATCGTAGTCCCTGAAAAGGAACTCTAGCATGTAATTGAATTCAATGCACCGTTCGTTACACACCATCTTCTCGTGATCTATCGCAGTCAAACGATCCTGGTTCGTACTGGTTCCGACGCGTTCGTTTGCGTATACAGGGTGATTCACAAATACATGTCAATACTACTAAGTCTGATATAAATGAAAAATGTCATGTGAACATATGTTCTATTTACCTTAGTTTCCAAATTATGGATGATTAAAGAAAACGTTCGAAGTGCCTACCTTGTGTCCCAACATAGTCAAATAGTCTCAAATCCAGTTGATGTACACAATAGTTATAAAATGGCCTCAAAAATAAAAGTCCGATGGGTTGAGATCGTGTACTTCGAACATTTTCTTTGATCATCCATAACTCGAAAACTAAGGTATATAGAATATATGTTCATATGACGTTCTTTTACTTACATATATTAGTGTGTAAATTTACATGCATTTATGAATCACTCATCCTCACAGACTCCTCTTGATTATTGTCCCGAACTCGGGTCCGCGCCTGGACAATAATCGTATAGGGAGAAATGCTTCAGACCCTCGTAAATTCATTTTTTAGTTCAAAGTCCGAGCCTTGCCCCCTCCCCCTCCAGTGGTGGGGACAACGCCTGGACAATAATCGTGTAGAACTAGCCGGAAAATAATCGAGAGGCGTCTGTACAACGAGTCGAAAGGGTAAAAGCACGTGGACGGAAAAACTGTAGGAGAGAGAACGAAAATGGTTTTGTCCCGCTTGGTTCGCGATCGCGATAAATATGATATAATAAGCGTGGAGTTTCCTTCGAAAGTTACACGCTGGTTGCCTCGACAAATTTTTACCGTATCAATTAGTCCGTTACGTGATCATGTGTTTTGAGAGGAACTCCGCATTCTCCGGCGAACGAATTATGTAAAATGTTGCAACAGCCGCGAAAAATGTTGAAACCTTTTGATTTCTAATCCGGGAACAGAAACGACAGATTTCGAAATCATTTCGATTTACTGTTCTTTTTTTTTTTTTTATTAATAGTTATTATCAATAGAAAGATTGATTAGAGTACCTATATCAAGAGTTTCAAGCTGGAGTTCGAAGTCATTATCGATACACCGATAAAAATAATGTAGGAGTACCAAGTATCGCGGATAACAGTGACTAATGTCTTCGCAACAATTAACCTTGATGCAGCCCGGCGTTCCTATTGATTATTGCGACACGAGAAACACAGGAAACCTCTCTCATGCCACATTGTTATTCGTCCAGAAATTGGGTCGATCATTAAATCGCGGGGCGTTATCTAAAATCGCCGTGGCGTACTCGGAACAATCGGTGCAGGTCTCTTTGAGGAAATTCGAGGAAAATCTTAACTGTATATCACACAATGATAAATTCTTGCCGATCGTAGTAGAGTCGCTTATGGTCCGACCGGCAGAAGTCATTGTAGCAGTAATCTATATTCCATCGTGTCTCGTTCGATCGATTAAACACGTGGTTGGTCATAAATATTAAAATGATTTTTTGCTGTTAAGAATATGAATATTTAGATGTTCGAAGTTTCTTTTCCATATAATTCAATGGTACACCCAGGATCGGTGTCCACCATCTCGAATCAATACGTTAAGCCACAGGTCGTATCAGTTTCTTGATTGACTCGTTCGGAGTACCACGCGATTCATAAGCAAGAAGTATATACGGGGTTCTTGCAGCTCAGCTGAAATTTTCTCACCAGCCAACAGAGTGCAAGGTTGAGCACGCTTCGAAGCGCGCGTATCGGGCATCTAGAAAAGAAAAATGCTAGAGGCGCTCTGTTCCCACAGGTTGAGTCAAACGGATGCGACTGTAATCCGTCTCTGGGCACCGTGTCTTACAAAACTAATTAATCATCCCGTGGAACGGTAGGCCACGTTGTGTTCCGAGGTCTTCTATGAGAATATTTCGAAATGGTCCAACGAATATTTTCGGTTGAAATTATTTGGATGGTTGAGCAGGTTCTTAGCACTAGAACTACTAGCAGTGAATGTATATTAAATTAATTTGTAAAATTTAATAATATACATAGTACTATCTAGGGTAATACAGTCTCAGATGAGATGTATACTAAATCAGAAGACAACAATAAATTCCACAAAAAGCGTAGGCCACGTTGTGTTCCGAGGTCTTCTGGGAGAATCTTTCGAAATGGTCCAACAGATATTTTCGGTTGAGATGATTGGATGGTTCGGCAGGTCCTTAACACTAGAACTGCCAGCAGTGAATGTATATTAAATTAATTTGTAAAATTTAATAATATACATAGTACTATCTAGGGTAATACAGTCTCAGATGAGATGTATACTAAATCAGAAGACAACAATAAATTCCACAAAAAGCGTAGGCCACGTTGTGTTCCGAGGTCTTCTGGGAGAATCTTTCGAAATGGTCCAACAGATATTTTCGGTTGAGATGATTGGATGGTTCGGCAGGTCCTTAACACTAGAACTACCAGCAGTGAATGTATATTAAATTAATTTGTAAAATTTAATAATATACGTAATACTATCTAGGGTAATACAGTCTCAGATGAGATGTATACTAAATCAGAAGACAAGAATAAATTCCACGAAAAGCGTTATTATAACTTCAGTAATTGTAAAATAATAAATCTGCGATTCGTCATTTTGACGGGTTTGGTAGTTCGAGTGTTACGGTGCTAGTTTTCGAACCTCTTGCAAATATTTTTTCGCATCACGAGAATGCAATTTTGGAGTTAATTTGCTTTGATCTGTTGTTTCTTCGAATACAATCGTACATGATCGAAAAGGATAGTGATTTCGGTACGAGCGCGAAAAAAGTCTCCGCTGCGACGCTTTCGGTCGCGATATTGTGCAAGTCGCACGTCGAGGTTAACCGGTCACACCAAATATATCCTACGGTTCGTAATTGGCCAGCCGCGATTGGAAACTCGGAGAAATTTGACACACATTCGCGTGTTTTATCCTCACGCTCCTACCCTTCGTCTTTTCTTTTTATCCCTATGCGGTGCATCCAATGTCAACTTGTTCGCAAGACGGTGGTCGTTAGTTCCGTCCTGTCGAACTAGTTCACGTCGTATGAAAGTCTCTCGATACACCTCTCCGTTTTTAACGACGGTTCTTTTTTTTTCTTTTTCTTTTTTATCGGGTCTACCGCTGCGTTTTATCGGGTCGTTGTTGTGCGAAAGACGCCGGAAAAATTGCCCCTCGACGATTCCTTAAGCCAAATATAGTGAGACAACGAATTGAGATCGAGAGGATCAGGCAACGGTTTATGGTTCGTCCCCTTTTATTAGGTCAACGTATAGGTTGTACGTTCTCGATACACTAGACCACACACCGTTTCAACTAGGGGTGGTTTAGACTCGAATTTTTCAGTTCTCGAAACTCGAATCTGAAACTTTGTGAAATTTCGAAACTGTTGAAACTCGAAGCGTTGATTTTGTTTACAAAATGTATATCTTCATTGACCATAGTTACTTTTTATACAGATCCCTCTCGATTATTGTCCACGCTGGGACAATAATCTTATAAGGAGAAATGCTTCAGACCTCCGTAAATTTGTTTTATATTCGAATACCAAGCCTCGGCAACAAAATCGAATGGACAACAAAATATGGTGGGGATAACGCCTGGACAATAATCGCGTAGAACAAGCCAGACGATAATCGAGAGGTGTCTATATACTACCTACTTTTCGGTAGGAAAAATAAAATTTAAGAAAATCGTGTCACGAATCACATGCTCTTGACCTGCACTTCTACGATCACGATCGATCGCCAATCCGCTTATACTTTATACCTTTAACCTCGTTCCGAATATTCGGTGTTTATTCATCGATTTTCGATTCGAGAGTTTCGAATCACGAAGAAAGTGCAAGTCTTCGAATTCTCGAAACTCATTCCTAGTTTCAACTTTACCGTGAATTGTCTAACAGAACATGTTATTTTTCATGCTAATCGTGATTACGATCACGTTTAATCATTGTATCGGTATGTTTATCGCGATACAATCGTTGCTTCTCG